ATATATCAGTGCCCTCCGGTGAATTTGGAAATTCAAAGTGATCAGTGATCCGTTGGGGGCGAAATGTGAGAAAATAAATAAATACAAGTAAAGTGTATTTAAATTTTCTTGCGTTGATTTATCAATGCGCAACGTTTCGCTGACAATATGCGTCAGCCTCATCAGGCGCAGGTACGCGAGAATTCGTAAGTTTGGTTGACTTACTCGTCACCTGTCGTGCTATCGACTGACAATGATATATACTAACAAATTGTCAAAAAATTCAAATTGTTATTAACAATTTAAATGTTTAAATCGATTTTTAACAGTGGCGTCACCCATGAATCAACTTTTTACTATTTTTATCGTATTCTGCGTCAAATTTTCGATCGAAAACGCTTTTAAAAACGATGGAGAAGTTATTTTTACTATGAGAAAAAAATTAATTAATTTAGCACAGTACGTCACACCGACACGTGGGTCACATTTTACGGCTCATATTCTTGTTTTACACCGTTTATCTCTAAAATACAAANTGTAGACAATAATTTTTTTTGTCAGTCTAGTAACTACAACCCGGAGCGCTTACTGGTTTTTTTAATTATATGCGCAGTTTTGAAAAATGTTCAATTGGACAAAATCTTGAGAAATTCGTGATTGAAGCTCGGTCTTGTAACTAGAGCGCTTGTGGCAGGTATACTAAGACTAATGATTTGCAATTCGAATCGAAAATGTCGGATATTGTCAGTACACACGTGTTGTAGATTATCACTTCATTTTTCAAATGTCGACATGAAAAATATAGATAACCGGAACAAATTTTGATTTATTCAATTTATAATTGATAAATTGTCGTGTTTCTGTAAGTTAGCCTATGTTTTTCTTGAGGTAGTGGTGCCAAATATCAAAGTTTTTTGAGCAAATTAAAGCTCCAAGATGCGGATTGGTATCCCCACTCGCTGGAACCTATATCTATAAAAACGTTTTTTTCATTCTAGCACATTTAAAATGTACCTTAACTTCAATCAAAAGGCAACGTTACCTTGTTCTCTTATAAGATATCTTGTTCAACTGTCAATATTTAATGATTATTTTCTCGAAAATTTCCCTGCTGAAAAACCTGAAAAATTCATGTGCTTTTTTGAAATGTTCAAATGTAACATACATTTTTTGGCACGATTCTACAACCTGAACTTTTCTCTCAATCTCTCTTAACAATTTCAAACTTCAATCAGATAAAACTTTCTTAAGGTCGCGATCATTCGTATACTCCATTATGATATCTGTTTCATTAGCTGTCAAATTTTTCAGTTCTTTCTTCATAATGCAGCTTCTCTTAATGCTCGTAATTCTACAGTCTACATTATCAACTAAATTTACATTCTTGTTTGTATTTATAGAGTCAATATAACGTCCTTCATTTCAACATTTGTTTTCAAGTTTGAGACTTGGAAAAATATCTTCGGATTCAGAACCAGGGGCAATATCTTTTAAGTAGATACTTTGTTTTAAGTACTTGTTGACTGTCAAAACTTTTGTTATCAACTGATTTTTTATCCTTTTTTTCTGTTTCATCTGTTTTTTTTTTTTTTTTTTTTTTTTTTTTTTTTTTTTTTTTTTTTTTTTTTTTTTTTT